AGGTAAAGACAGACTCAATAGGCGATTGACCACTAAACGGGGGGTTAACAGGTTATCATATAGTAAAAAAAACTAGCGTACTGTTTGAAACAAGCGTATATAATTTTTTGGCCGTGGTTTGCGACGATGGAACATGCATCTACACAAACCCGAATCCAATTACCCATCCATGGTTTAACACAAGAACAATTGGTTACGAATTTTCACAATTATTGTCCCCCATTTCGCGAAAGCAAGGGGACATTAAATCTCATTCGTCTGTCCGTCCGTCAATCTGTCTAGCTGTCCGTCCGTCATGAAAATTTAACCTTGCCCATAACTTTTGATTTGGTGGAGCTATGACTTTATATTTCACATGTGTATTCCTTGTGTTAAGACCTTTCTTTGGGTACCACAAAATTTGACCTTTTGATCTTGACCTTTGAGATTGACCCTTACTTACTTACTTAGGCCTGTCGTTCAGTGAGGAACATAGGCCATCAACAACAGTCCTCCAACGAACACGATTCTGAGCTGCTCTAACTGCATCATGCCAGGTCATATCCTGTGTCTTTAGCTCCGACTCTGAGTCACGCCTCCAGGAGTTTCTAGGACGTCCTCTTTTTCTTTTGCCCTGTGGGTTCCAAGTCAGGGCCTGGCGTGTGGTGCTGGATGGTGACTTCCTTAATGTGTGTCCAATCCAGCCCCACTTCCTCTGTCTTATTTGTATGTCCATTGGTTCCTGTCCTGCTCTTTTCCATAGTTCTTCATTGAAGATCCTTTCAGGCCATCGGATGTTGAATATGCGCCTGAGACAGGTGTTATAAAATGTCTGGATCTTCTGCAGGGTAGCTTTAGTCATCCTTCACGTCTCTGCACCATACAATAGGACGGACTTTACATCTGAGTTGAGGATCCGCAGTTTAGTGGTAATACGGATGTTCTTTGAAGCCCAGATGTTCTTTAACATGGTAAATGCAGTTCTTGCCTTGCCAATTCTTGACTTGATGTCGCGATCTGTGCCACTCTCTATATCCACCACACTCCCCAGGTAGATGAAGGACTCAACTTCTTTGATGGGCTTACCACCAACTGTGACTGGTGCTTGGACAGGTGTGTTTATCTTCATCAATTCTGTTTTCTTCAAGTTGATTTTGAGGCCTGTTCATGCGGATGTTGTTGCAAGGCGGGCTGTTTTATCCTACATCTGGCTTTTGTTGTGTGAAAGGAGAGCCAGGTCATCTGCAAAATCAAGATCGTCGAGTTGCATCAGGAGTGTCCACTGTATACCAATGTTCCTGGCTGATGTGGTAGTCCTCATGATCCAATCAATGACCAAGAGAAAAAGAAATGGTGACAGCAAGCATCCTTGTCGAACTCCTGTCTTGACCTCGAAACTATCAGACATCTGGCCAGCATGCGCAACCCTGCCTTGGTAGGTGTTTCGAATCAGGGAGACTAGCTTCTCTGATACTCCATAGTGCCTCAGTATCTTCCACAATGTCTCTCGGTCCACGCTGTCGAATGCTTTCTCATAGTTGATGAAGTTGACATAGAGGGGGGACTTCCACTCCAGTGATTGTTCTATAATGATGCGCAGACTGGCTATCTGGTCAGCACATGATCTGTTGGCTCTAAAACCAGCCTGTTGGTCACGGAGCTTTGGGTCCACTGCTTCTTTCATTCTCTTGAGAAGTATTCTGTTGAGGACCTTGCCAGGCACTGACAGTAGCATGATCCCCCTGTAATTACTGCAATCTCTCAGATCACCTTTCTTTGGCAGCTTAATAAGGATACCTTCTTTCCACTCTTCCGGGATGTTCTCTTCTTCCCAGTTCTTGTTGAAGAGGTTGCATAAGATGTTAATGGTTTCTGCTGGTATCTCATCAGGCCCTGTTGCTTTTCCATTCTTAAGTTTATTAATTGCTCTTCTAATCTCTGTCATTGTTGGCTTATCGCAGTTGATCGGGAGGTCTATCTTGGCTGGTTGTATGTCTGGAGGTGTTTCTGGTGCTGATCTATTTAATAGCTCTCTGAAGTGTTCTACCCACCTCTTCAATTGTTCGTCTGTTGTTATGAGAGTTTTCCCGTTCTTGTCCTTCACTGGCTTGTCTGTTTGCTGGAACTTGTTGGAGAGCTTCTTTGTGATCATATACAGTTCTTTCAAATTTCCTTGTCCCGCAGCTTCTTCAGCTTGTTTGGCCAGGTTGTCGATGTAATCCCTTTTATCTTTCCTGATGCTTTTCTTAACTTCTTTATCTGTGTAGTCCTCTTGAGCTTTTGTCTTAGCTGATCTTGTCCTGCTTGTATTCAGCACTGCTTTCTTTTCCTTCCTCTCTTCCACTTTCCTCATGGTATCACCAGAGATCCACTCCTTGTGCTGATTCTTTCTTCTGCCGAGGACTTCCTCGCATGTGCCTTGCCACATTTCCTTGATGTACTGCCATTGGATCTCGATATTGGTATCATTGTTTTCTAGCTGGTCCTGTAGTAGCTGGAATCTATTTGACAAGCTGAGATGGAATGTTTTCTTCACTTCCTTTGTTTTGAGGGCACTCACGTTGTATCTTGTCCTCTTGTTTGTCGTGTTGTTGAACTTCTTGAGGCGCAGTCTTAATGCCGTCATCAGCAGATGGTGGTCTGATGAAATGTCTGCTTCTCTCATCACCCTGAAATCTTTCCATGCTCTTCTAAATTTCTTGTTAATGCAGATATGGTTCGATCTGGTTCTCTGTAACATGGTCAGGGGATCTCCATGTGGCCTTGTGAATTCTTTTATGAGGGAAGATGCTTCCTCCTATTACCATCTGGTTAAGTGAGCATAGGTCTGCAAATCTCTCACCGTTCTCATTCATGTAGCCCAGTCCTTGTGTACCCATGACTTCATTGTAGCTTGTGTTGTCACCTCCAATTTGGCATTGAAGTCGCCCATGAGTACCGTCATGTCTTTCTTGCCTGTTTTATCCAAGACTGCCTGTAGTTGTTGGTTAAAGGCATCTTTCTTTTCCTCATCCGCATCATTTGTGGGGGCATAACATTGTATGATGTTGCACTTGATCTTACTTTCCTTGGTGTTAAACTTGACTGTTATTATGCGGGAGTTGACAGGTTCCCATCCGATGAGAGCACGTTGAACCTCTAAGGATTGCGTCAGACCTACACCTTCGGTGTGGTGGGCTCCCTCCTCGGTGTGTCCTGAATACAACAGTGTTTCTGCGGTGGTTAGCCTCAGCTTTCCCGTCTGTAGCCACCTTATCTCACTAAGTCCTAGGAGACAGATGTTGTAGTGCTTCATCTCCTTTGCCACCTGTGCTGTTCTTCCTGCTTCATACATTGTTCTGATGTTCCAAGTGGCAAATCTGATGGTTTTCCTGGGTGCCAGAAAGGGAGTCAGCTCTGCGGTTTCCTTTCTGCTTTCATTGCACAGCATCATAGTTCCCCTTGAAGTAGGTCCAATCTGGCCCAGGTTATGTTAAATTGGTTTTGGCTTGTCGTTGATGCTTCTGTGACTTGCTGTTTTTATAGGGAGGGTTGCATAGGCAGTAGCCTCGAGGAAAGGTGGTTTGATTTTGGAGTTTCCTTCCTAGACTGCTTTCCTTCCCTGGGTATTGAGCACAGTCTGCCCATTTGGTTTTATGTCAGTGTTTCCTTCCCCTAGCCTTTCCCGTGGTAGGGTATGGCCGCAAGACAGCGGAGGTTTGGAATCAGAGTTTTCCTTCTCTTAGATGAGCTATCCTCCCAGACTGATGAGCCCCATCTACCCAAAGCACTGGTTTTCAGACGCCAGGTAACTCGCCTTCACCCCTTCTCCTATCAGTAGTACCAGTTCTGCCGGACTTGATAAAAGTCACACGAGCAGGCTAGGAGCTGGACTTTGGTTGTCAGAGGCTATTTGAGGCGCATGTCATAAGGAGCATTTTATAGACATTGGGAGCTTATCCCCATTGCCACCCCTTGGCTATGACAACCTTTGGAGTTTGACCCACTTTTACACAAAAATTCCAAATTTTTACTTTGGCCATAACTTTTGAACGGTATATACTAGGACTTTTATATTTGATCTATGTATTTTTTGTGGCAAGACCTTTCAATGGATACCAACAACTTTGACTTACTGACCTTGACCCTAGAGATTTCTGTACTTATGAAAAAACAAAACTTTAACCTTGGCCATAACTTTTTAGAGATGTTTACTTCCTGTGAGAAGACCTTCCTTTATACGCTATGATTTTTGACCTCCTGGCCTTGACCTTGAAGTTTGACCTACATTTCAAAAACATTAACCTTGGTCATATCTTTTGAACAAGAAGAGATAGGACTTTCATATTATACATGTATATTACCTGTAATAAGGCCTTTTTAAATACACTATGATTTTTTGACGCAGCAACCTTGACCTACTTTAAAAAAAATAAACATGACTTTAAATTGGCCATAACTTTTAAATGAGAAGAAATAGGACTTTCATATTAGAGATCTTTCTGAATGCACTATGATTTTTGACCTTGTGACCTTGTCCTTGAAGTTTGACCTACTTTTCAAAAACTTTAATCTTGCTCATATCTTTTCAAGAAGAAAATATAGGACTTTCATATTACACGTGTAGATTACCTGTGATAAGACTTTTCTAAAAATACTATGATTTTTTTATGCATCAACCTTGACCTTGAAGTTTGACCTACTTTTAAAAATGTTAAATATTACCTTGAATTACCATAACTTTTGAATGAGAAGAGATTTTCTAAATGACATACATTGTATGATTGCGTTCATATTTGACAAAATTAGCTGCAGATCTGTAGCGTTATGGTTTTATATATTTGTCTTTGGTCAAAAACAAATATATAAAACCATAACGCTACAGATCTGCAGCTATGACAAAATATGTCATAATAACAAATGACATCTCACCAACAAAGAAACCGAAAGTGGGGGACCACAATTCTTTGAATTTGCTTTTTTTTATACAGTAGGTCCGTAAACTGATGAATAAAGAATAATAAAATTTGTCATTTTATGAATACGCAATCTTCCGGGTTTATCCTAGTGTGCGATATAGGTTCAATAATTAGTGTGCTTTTATTTACTTCCTAGTATCACGAGATTAAAAACATGAGTTTGAAAGGTAAATATTTGGATATTTTTCATTAAGTAAATGTTAATTAATTTTTTAAAGTAAAAATTTGCATTTATTTACTCCATCACATCAGAAACATATTGTCGATTTCTAAAATATTGTTATAGATCTATAAAACTACATACATGCATACTTTATCATCATGATCATAACGATTTAAATGATTTTTTTTATGGATGCTTCTCGTTTGCAGATCCCGGAACACCACTAAATGGCTACTCATCCCCCTGGTATTACAACAGTCACGGGAGATCTGCGTGGGAACACCAGGTGGAGGCTGCTACCGATGCCAGATTGAACTTAGACACTCAAATTACAGGTACTGACCCTTCTGGTAAATAATCTAAGTGTAACAGTGATTACGCAGTAACTACATTTAGCTACATTTTAAAAGATTTGGGGCCTGGAAGCTATATATACAACAGCTAATTTTGACAAAAACTGTTACATCTTTAGTGAAATAACAGAAGAATATGACCATTGATAACTTATAATTCAGCACAATGTGAAGTAATCATATTTATCCAAGCCTCACTAAAACACAAGGTGTACTTCGATCAAATAAACAGGTATCAGAACAAGCCCAAATTATTGGTATGATAATTCCATATTGTTTATAGTGACACACCCATTTATAATGGCATCGTATGATATCTACCCATCCGAATCATCCCAGCAGCTGCACTAGTATACAACTAATTTTTAGCATATTATAAAGGTCTTCTTTAACTTTTATCATGATTTAAATAACTGGCATGTGTGTACATGTGATGTATCACAATTTTACAAATGACTTTGTTCCTGTCATTTTTGTGTGTAATAATATACAATTATTTAATGCCTGAGCAGTCAATAGACCAGAATATTTTTCCCGAGGTGCAGGGAACAGCTCAGTGTGTTCTATTGCCCAAGGCCAGCTTTTCTGGTCTATTGACTGTTCAGGCATTAAATAATTGTTTTATTACCTAATTTTATTTTCCATATTAAGTCTTCACAATTGTATATTCAGTACAGAAGGTTCCCGTACCATATAGTAAATCTATGCCTAGATATGGTGCATCTTTAATATTAATTAAAGATTGATTGTATAGACTATTGTTTACATTCCTCTCAAAAATTTTTCACGTCTCAGATGGAGACGCCACCACTTGCCGGTGGAGAGGGACCTTTTTCGTGCCAGCAGTGCACCTACTGCGACACGGGACCTCAGTTGATAGGTCTCACCCGAAGGACCGGTCTCCATGTCCCAAATTGTATTAATTAAAAGTAACTCGAGATCATTAAATAAAATATCCGACCATTGAAATCACACAATTTTTAAAACCAATGTCGAAAGATCGAATAAGATGATTGTTTACCATGTCTGTGCAGTGTTACAAATGACTAAATTTGAAACCTGGATCGGTTTTTTTCCGAAATACGTTACCGGTCAGTAGAACGTGCAGTCTATTGACCGGGCAATAGATCGCAGTCTATTGACCGGTCAATAGATCGTCAGTCAGTAAATCGGTTTGAAAAGATAAGAAAAACTGAAAACACATACAGAATAAATGAAAATATTAAATCTATAATAAAACAACAAAATTCACTTGATTAGGTAATAAAGTGAAATTATTTACTGTCATTTCCAGAAATCACAAAGTCTCACTGGATTCCCACAGAGATATGTCCCAGCTGCTGTAATCGACAGTGTAAAAGGAAATTCTCTCTCCTGGATCGCCCGCATCATTGTAGAAGGTGTCCTTTTTTTGCTTTTGATTGAGATTTCATTTAATTATGTCATAATCAAGTACATTTAAAGTGAATCTTCCTGAATAATTTGCAAAATATCTAATTTACTGCACAAAATTACACTATATGGCACAACTAAAGAATGTTATTGAATCACATTCTTCAAAGTGATCAAAACTGCTGTTGAAGATGCTTTACATCTTAATTGTATTTTCCTTCTTTAGAACTCTAATTTGAACACTACAATCTTTTTTAAGGCAAAATTATATGTTAATTTATTTTTGTGTATTTGTAAGCCTAATTTATACCAATACTGTTTGAAACTAATTTTAAAATAAGTTATGAATATTTTGTCTGACACAGATGTGGAAAGATATTCTGCAGTCCTTGCCTTCAATTCCAAAGAAAATTAAATCTTCTTGCCAATCCTGATCCTGAAGGAAAAGCATACAAGGTGCAGAAAGAAAATAATATTAATTGATTTACCAAATTGTCATATGTTGAAATATTTGTTCAATGTCTCTTGCATAAACAACTTGGTCATAATGGGAATTGTCTCCACAAAGTGACTTTCTGATTAATTCGAAACCTTACCCCCAGTCCACTCACCCAGTCCCACTTTCTCAGCTGTAGGCATGATAAGGAGATCAACATTGTACATTATAGTGAAATTCTTCTATCATTTTCTCCTCATAAACAGCAAGGCTACAATAAGTCTATAAGTTTTAATGCAGCATTACCCATCAAGTTATATTTCAAACTGTTTAAGGGTTAGGGTAGAGCCATTATAGAAGTTCAAATTCTTGATTAAATATGCACAAGATAACAAGTTGGAAGTTTTTATATTAATTTATGACCTCAATTAAAATTGTTGTAATCATAGACTAAGCTGGTGGTTTATTCATGCACATTAGTATTACATGTATTCATAACAGAGATGAGCTATGTGTCCCATAAGCCTCTACACTGTATGTGATATCTAGACTGTTTTATGACAGGTGTGTCAGGCATGTTTTGAGGAGGGCCAGGTACAGGAAGGACAGAGTAGGAGACTGACGGAATATTTCTACAGATTGCGTCAACAAGGGGTGCTGACAGCCTCCGTGATAGAGAACGGCAAAGTCACAAAGTGCTGGAGGCAGAGGTATGTTTGTTGATAACAAATCCCAACTTTTCTTTCTTTTTTTTTCTTTTTTTTTAGAAAATGTGGAAAATTTCAAAATAGTTGAACATCTTCTATGTATACCAAATAAAGTTTCTATATATATCTATATACAATAGATATTCACTTGTTCTAACCATAAACTGTATACAGGGAAATTTTTGTCTCCGTTTTGTTTTCGCCCCTTTTGTCCTTACCTCAGATGGGCGAATTTAACACAGGGTGAATTCAAAGAATACAACATAATTTCTTAAACAAAAGTGTGACTGGGCGAATTTCAGATGGGGCAAAGTTATTTGCAAGCATGAAAGAGCAAAAATAAAACGGGACGAAAATAACCGTGCATACAGTATGATTGCCAACATATTTAAGCATTTACTTATTTTTTGCATTAGTTGTAAAACAGGTATGAGTAAATGTATCCTTTCCAGTGCATTGAATAATGATAAGGTTCTTAACATTCAGACTTGACTTAAAAGCAGAGTGCAAACGACTGACAGAAGGCTTTAAATCAGCAATAGGAGGATCAGAAATTAAAAAAACCATCCATGACCTGAAAACCTTGGTCACCATGCCAAACTGGCAGAAGTCTTCTACCTGGCTAGTAAGGAGCAATCATATCTGTTTACTTTGACATTTAAGTCCAAATCCACATTTAGGCACCTCATTATTTAATGTAAAATCATATGTTTTCTAGGGATCAAATTTTTGTGGTTTAAGGAAAATATTTTGGTTCATGGGGATTTGATTTCATGGTTAAAGAATTGTTCAGTAGTAATATATGTGAAAAATTGCATTTCGTTGTGGACATAAATTTGTGGGTCTCTACCTACCACGAAAACAACGAAAATTAAACCTCCATGAAAATTAGTGATTTCATAGAATTTTGTATGATTTGACTTATTATGCCATCATCATATTTAATTTGAAATTTTGTGACCTAGGCAACACAGATTATTCGATATTTACTAATTTTTTATCCAATCAAATGACACATGACAATCAAAATTAAATTTTATTGTTGTTTTAATAAAGCTACAAATAACCTCCAAACTTCTTTTGACAGCAAGAGAATTTAGCAGAGTCTTGCCAGGTGTGTGCTGCTAAGTTTGGTCTGACGAGGAAGAAGCAGAACTGCAGAGTGTGTGGTAGAGCCGTTTGTAAGGCTTGCTCTACCAAAGACCTCCTGCTGTTTATTCCCAACGAAAACAAAGAGGCTGACCCACAACTAGCCATCATTCGAATTATTGGAGTAAGTTTAAAAACTGTCAATTTTAAAACTATTGAGATATATTTCAAATCTAGCTAATAAACTCATTTTTGACCTATTAATAGGTATTGTATTTTATGCTATTACCTGTGCTTCTCAAATATTTGATTTTTTTTTCAGTCTTGAGAAGTTAAACAAATTGTTCAATTATAAAAAAAAATATTTTGTACATCAATTCAACTATATATATTATTATTTTTTTCCCTTGTAGTGTCCTGAGAAGGAACCTGACATAGCTTTGTACTTAAGAGTTTGTAAACTCTGCCAGGAGAAAATTTCCACCAAACAAATTCTAGAGAACAATGTTACGGAGGATGAAGCACAAGAAGGGGCAGATAACCTGGTCAGGCTGGAAACCCTCCACAGTAAATGTGTCAAGTTAGAACAGAAGACAGACAGGCAGCTGACACAAGTAAATCAAAATTACTGTTAAATCCACTAAATCAAATCAAAATCAAATCTTCTTGCACCAAAGAATAAGTATAGATGGTGGTGGGGGGGGGGATAATAGTCAAACATGATTCTATAGCTACATATTTTTATAAAAAGGAAATGTTAGAATCTCACAGACAAAATAAAAAATAAGTTTACAAAAGTCTGTTAGTTACTCATCTAAGATGAATACATGTACCTGTGTATGGAATTACTTGGTCACATTTTTATGAAGGATGTAAATTCATGGGCATGCATTTTCATTCCATGAAAGCAATGGAAAAAAAACCCAGGAAAACAGTATTTCACAGTATTTTCTCGTTAATTTAGCACATTGATCAGCATTGTCATCTTCATAATCAAATTCATTTTCATTGTCATAAACACGTCATCCTGCTTCACCACTGAAGGCATTGCTGCCATTTATTTTTTATGTCTCTATAGCTGATAAGTAATCTCTGTCATTTTTTTTTTAATTTCGATCATATTGATTATAGTTTACTATTCCTCTTTCAAGTTATGTTCAAGTAAGATATACATATACTTTATTCAGTTGGTATGTACTCAGTAAATGATTTTATAAGATGTAAAAATACAATTTGAGTATTTATGTCCATTTTTTAGTACCAGTCAGTGATTGAGTCCCTGGAGGATAATTCCAGGAGAGGGTCAGACTCTGGAAAAAGCAACATTAAAGTTCTCGCCAAGGCACAGGTTATTGCTGGCTTTTTAGTTTTTCAAGTGTATATATGTTTTTATTCTTATCATTGATATAAAAAATTTATAAATTGACTGAAAACAAAGAATTCAAACACTTTTACCATAATTGTTGTGTTTCAAATACATTAGGTTTTAGAAAAAAAGAAAACTGCTAATTTTCCTTTCATTTCAAACCAATTTTGCTTCAAGTCAAGTGTTTTTAAAAAAGTGTGGAAAGGACAAAACCCAGTGCTCCAGTCCTAAAGTAATATTACATTTTACATTTCGTTATTGTTTATTATTTCATTAGATTTAACCATCTTGTAACTTTTCTCTATGAAGTATCATTTTTTGCTATATTTCCCTCTTATATTAATTACAGGAGGACATTGCTGATTTCTTGTCACAGTATAATGCAAATATTCAGAGGACAAAACAGTTAAAGCCCTCTACAAATACACAAGCTATGCTGTTTAGGAATTGTCTAAAGGTAAGGATAAGTGTATTTTCTTTTATACATTTATTTACTGTGTTGCAGGATTTTTTAAGTGGTGAGTTAACTTAGGCTTATTTTAGCAATCTAGTAAAAGCCATATAGAAGTTTATGTCTAAATTTGATCCCTTTGTACAAATACTGAATCAATGAAAGATAGCATAAATCATGACATATGGAGATAATTAATGAACAGTATTCAATCTCAAGTCCATTCAAACAAGAAAAATCTGGAGCAGAGCAAACTTAGACCTCTAAAACATCAGAGGTGGGATCAGGTGCCTTCTTTTGGTTTTATTTGAACTCTTTTGTATATCATTATCACAATGCTCACAAATATACTGAAAACTCATCTGGAAGGTGAACACCCTTTCTCTGCACTGGCAGTTGTTTGAAATTGCATTAAACCCATTACAATAGCTCAACTACAATAAATACTCGTATTTGACCTAGCTATAATGATATTACACTATTAGGTTGCTTTTTGTCTTTCTATAAATATGTAAAATACATGTACTATCAGTTTGTGACATTGTATTAACAAACTTTTGATCTATTTGAACTCATATTATTTCCACAAAGTGTTTTATTTAAATTTTAATTGAAAGCCTATATTTTTGTAGTACAACTACGAGACAAGCTTTAATTGTTTCTCTTTTATTTAGAGTAAGTGTGACTTTTACTTAGAAAATCAATATACATTCCGGAAATTAAAGCAAGAGTTGGAAAAATCAGCACCCGCAGAAACACTTCAAGTCATACAACAGACAGTAGACCTTAATGTAAGTAAATATTATACACAAGAAAGTCAAAAATACAGTCGAACCTCTATATCTCAATCTTAGTTGAGCTGAGAAAAATCTCTGAGATATCTGAGGATTTGAGATATCAGGGGTAAAATGCTTAAAGAATAAGTGGTTGAGAATTCTTTATTACTTAGACATATCCATAGTATTTGAGATATTAATGTTCAAAATATTGAAGTTCAACTGTATTTCATTTTCAATCACCTTTAGCTTTCAGTTACCTTGTATGAGAATTTGATAATAATTTTTTTATAATACTGTGCTGTAATTAATGTGTTTTTTATTTTTTTACACAGGCGATAACCAGTGCCCAGTTGTACGTTAGACAGCTGACCTTTGAGACCCTCCATCTCTGTGATAAATACAAAATCTGTGGTTCTATCCCAGAACTGCTCAGCTCATTGGATGAGGTATATTGATGGTCTTATCAAGTTAATTTTTATTAACTTTGTACTAGTATCACATATGATACTATAAAGTAGAAGAATTTGGTGCACAGTTTATTGTACATGTAGTACCTTTTGTGGAATGCCGCTTTGCTAAAATCTCAGTCTTAAATTTTTGTGCAAAAGTATGCAAGCTTCCATTTTCCTTTTTATGCTACTCTCTGACAGTAACTTCAATAGAAGATTTATCTATAAATCAAGTCAGTGTAGCATTTTGATTGCTAAAATATAAATATTATCAATTCCATTGAAGTGAATCGTTTTGCATTATGTCACAATCTGCTCAAGGTAAATGGCACATGCCTTCTAACTGCAAGCTTTATGATTAATAGTTTCTCCTTATCCTTGATTGGTTGTTTTTGCAAGAGACTATTTCAGAAAAAAAAACACAATCAAGTACTACTGTATACAGGGTTATTTTGTCCCAAGTTATTTTTGCCCTTCAACAGTTGTGAACAGTTTTGCCCATTTTGAATTCACCCAGTCACGGTTCTGTTTAAGAAATTATACAGTGTCCTTTGAATTCGCTTCGTTTTAAATTCGCCCACTTGTGACAAGGGCAAAGGGGGCGAAAATAAAACAGGGGCAAAAATTTCCCAGTATACATGTTTACCTTGAGCACAGCTATCAAAATAGGTTGTGACTTGGAGCAAAATGGTACACCTCACTGGAACTGCCAGTGATAATAAAACAGAGGGACAAGACATGTTTAAAGTCTTAATTTGGCTTCCATGGAAGTGAAAATTTTCCCAAATCTAACTTCAAAATCTTTGGGTTTTGATGTTGAGCTTGCAAGGAAACATTATTTTGGCTTTGGCCTTAATGCCTCTAATCTGTATATATATTTAAAATCAGCTTTCAAGTAAAGATCATTGGTAAATATTTCCTCCATGAACAAGTGTTAATTTTTGTACCATAGGTACTTGTATTTTGAGCCCATATTCCAGTCATCTTGATCAATTTTCAAAATTTTGGTTTAAAGATTATTGATAATTATGCTAAATTCTAATACATTTATGAGATTTTTTCGCCTTTATCTTTAGATGAGTTATTTCCTACAAATGGTATGTTCTGCACAAAAGATGGAATTTTGAAATCTTGATATTTTATATGTACCCAGGCTTTGGAAGTTGATGCTAAGAGATGTCTGGCATTAAATGGTGAGAGCTGGGAACAGCATGATTCCAGTATTAAAGACATGATCAGGCTACAGATGAAGGCAAGTTACATGTATTATTAACCCTTAGTGTAATGCATCTTATGTAAGCAATTAAATGATTTTTTAAAAACAGTCATCCCCCCCCCCCCAAAAAAAAAAATCATCACAAAATATAAATCTAGAGAAGTAAAGCATTTTGAAAAGGGCTGTGTTCAGGTGTTACATCTTAAATCAAAATTCTTCTTAGAATATAAGAAAATATAGATACAGCTATTCAGTTTATCCAAAATTTAATTTCATTTTTATCCTTATGAAGCATAGCAAGTAAATATAAGCAAATCCCCCCTTTTTTTTTATAAACTGGTACACTTAGATCATAGATTGTTTTCTAATGCTGCATTATAATAATTAATATTTGTGTTTTTAATATCTCCTCATTTTAAACAGGATCACCGGCTGATAAAACTGTCCCGTGCACTGTTATCCCTAGGAGGTAGTGAACATGTGATTATGATGCTTACAAAACGGACTAATGAAGTTTTACAGCAAGTACAAGTTCAACTGGAAATGAAGTCTACTGATAAAAGCTTTAGAGGATCAAAAACGTCCCTTAATAAAACCAGGGACAGTGTCAAAGAAGCAAAATTAGTGATAGTTTAAGTTTATTTACTTACAGGAGGAGAATACTTGGGAAAGTGCAATAAAATGAAATAAAATTAGGCCTCAGTGCTCACTAGAGATGTGTTTGTCTTCCTAATAAATTTTTACATGTGACTAAAAAACATTGATATTCCAAAATTCCTTTTAATCTGTAAAAAAGTTACCATTAGTAAGCTTACAAATTGAATCTTTGTTACTGAGAAAAACTGCAAGCTTATGTAAAACTTGAACCCTAGCTGCATCATAGCTTAAGAGGACCATTCTATGATAAAGTTCAAAATTCACAACTGCAGTTATATAAATTTTTTGTTTTGTAAAATATATACATGTATTTTTATATAAAGTTATGACACCATATTAAACTTTTAACATATTAGTACATGTATCCCATTGACTATGATCTGTCCTCAAAACACCAGGGGTCCCCTGTCAAATCACTGCCTTTGGATCCCTGACAAATTTCATTAGATCTTAATTGGGTTTGCAACACATAAGGTGGGATTTTTCTCTTGTTTCTGACTTGATGAAATAATCAAATTTTTCAATGTATATTTGCATTTATCTCTTATGTATTTAGATATAAGAGATTTAAAAGATCATACTGTATAGGGGATTAATTTCACGGGTTGTAATTTTCACGGTTTTCTCTTCTCTGACACTGTCGCGGTTTCTTGAATTCGCGGCATTGGTATATTATAAAAGTTTCCTCCCTTATCTATACCTATTGAAAACTTATTCACTGTTTCTTGAATTCACGGTTTCATCAAAACCGTGAATATAGCGAATATTAACACCGCGAGTTAATTTCCCCCTATACAGTATTTTTCTTTTCTCATCACAATTGCACGACTTTAAATAGATATGGTAAACTGAGTTTGAAATCTAGCAGGGACTATATTTTTGGCGGAATGGTGGCGTATGAAAATATTTTCTTTTCTGATTCTCAAAATTATAATAGAACAATGTATTTAGTTTTAAATTTAACACATTCAAAGACTTGAAGAATTTTTTAAAATATAACAAATAAATACATGTATGATTTTCCAAACAAACTAAAATATTAGCTTTTAAAATCTTCCAATCTAAGTACAGTTATGAGTAAAAATCTGTAGAAAGTGTTTTTACTCTCTTATCAAACCATCAAAACTTCTTCTCAACAACCGCTGGGCCAATTTCAACCAAACTTGCCACAAAGCATCCTTGGATGAAGGGGATTCAAGTTTGTTCAAATGAAGGACCACGCCCTCATTCAAAGGGAGATAATTGGGAATTAATGAAAATTTGTTGGCATGATTTAAAAATCTTCTTCTCAAGAACCACTGTGCCAGGAAAGATAGACTAATGGGGAAACATCCTCAGGTAGTGTAGATTCAAGTTTGTTCAAATCATGACCCCTGGGGGTTGGGCAGGGCCGAAATGGCCGACCAAAGTTTTACATAGAAATATATAGGAAAATTCTTTAAAAATCTTCTTCTCAAGAATGACAAAGCTATAATTGATCATATCTATATGGAAGCATCCTCATGTAGTGCAGATTCCATCAAATCATGACTCCTAGGGGTAGGGTGGGGCCAAAATGGCCAACCAAAGTTTTACATAGAAATATATAGGAAAATTCTTTAAAAATCTTCTCCTCAAGAATGACAAAGCCATAACTCATCATATTTATATGGAAGCATCCTCAGGTAGTGTAGATTCAAGTTTGTTCAAATCATGACCCCCGGGGGTAGGGCTGGGCCAAAATGGCCGACCAAAGTTTTACATAGAAATATATAGGTAAATTCTTTAAAAATCTTCTTCTCAAGAATAGCAAAGCCATAATTGATCATATTTTCATGGAAGCATCCTAAGGTAGTGTAGATTCATATTTGTTCAAATCATGACCCCGGGGGTAGGGCTGGGCCAAAATGGCCGACGAAAGTTTTACCTAGAAATATACAGGAAAATTCTTTAAAAATCTTCTGACAAGAATAGCAAAGCCATAATTCATCATATTTATATGAAAGCAACCTCAGGTAGTGTAGATTCAAGTTTGTTCAAATCATGACCCCTGGGGGTAGAGCATTGCCAAAATGGCCGACCAAAGTTTTACATAGAAATATATAGGAAAATTCTTTAAAAATCTTCTTCTCAAGAACCACTGGGCCAGGAAAGATGAAACTAATGTGGAATTATCCTCAGGTAGTGTAGATTCAAGTTTGTTCAAATCATGACCCCCCGGTGGTAGGGTGGGGCCAAAATGGTCGATCAAATTTTTTCATAGGAATATATAGGGAAATCTTTTAAAATCTAAACTTTTCAAGTACTTCAAAGCCATGATTAGTGATATTTATGTGGAATCATTCTCATATAGTGTAGATTCAAGTTTGTTCAAATCATGACCCCCTAGGGGGTTAAAATTTAAGCCCCCCCCCCCCCTCAGCAAACTTTCAGTTCTGAACTGATATTTGCTTTTTCCTAGCTGGTGTGCTCAGGTGAGCACTGTGGCCCCTGGGCCTCTTGTGTTAAATTTATATTCATGTCAATTTAGTAATATCATCTTATAGACCCTCTATGGTATAAATATCTTTTTATGCAAAAAGAAAAACATTTAATTTTTGAAAAAGAAGGTATCGCATGATTGGATGCAGTAATTTTTTATTCTTAATGTCCAGGGAAAAGGTAATGACCTTGACCTGACCTTGACTCTAATATGAAACGGTCAAAACTAATCTGATACTATCACATAGTGATGTTATTTTTTTTGATTCTCTGAAAATTTCATTAATTTTTGAATACAAAAAATATGAGAAGAATCCTACCTTAAATGCAAGTGTTGTGCATTTGTTTGTCACCAAAAGGCTTAATTTGATTGGTTGAGAGAAAGGAAAAACAAGTTTTGTAGTTTTCTGAAAAGTCATTGCTTCAGTCCGCCTGGAAGATATTCAATTAAATTTGTGAGGGGAATTGGCAATGGGTTGACAAAAGACCCCTGACTTTGTGAGGTTGCTATCACATGTAAGCGAAATCAAATTTTAAAATGTATTTGGATTTTGTACGTGATCATAAATATTCTACAAATTATGACCCTAATCTTTTTAAGAATGATATTTATTAAAACACTTTTTTGAAATTTAAATTTTTGTGCAAAATGTTGATCAGATTTTTTTTGCCCCCTTGAAACACTGCCTGGTGCCTTATATTCTTTTTTCCTTCCCTGTGGTTTTTGGGAGGACAATTATACACCTTTTTAGCTCACCTGAGAGCCGAAGGCTCAAGTGAGCTTTTCTGATCAAAATTTGTTTGTTTTCTGTCGTTGTCGTTAACTTTTCACTTTTTCATCGTCTTCTCAAGAACCACTGGGCCAATTTTAACCAAACTTGGTAAAAAGCAACCTAGGGTGAAGGGGAATTTAAGTTGTTAAAATGAAGGACCAGGTCCTCTCACAAGGGGATATAACCAAGAAAAGACAAAAATTGGGTGGGGTCATTAAAAAATCTTCTCAAGAACCACTGGGCCAAAAAAGCTGAAACTTATGTGGAAGTATTCTGGGGTAGTGTAGATTCTAAATTGTTCAAATCATGACCCCCGGGGGTTGGGCGGAGCCACAATAGGGAATCAAAGTTTTACATAGAAATATACAGGAAAAATCTTTAAAAGTCTTCTTCTTAAGAGCCACTGGGCCAGAAAAGCTGATACTAATGTGGGAGCATCCTGGGGTAGTGTAGATTCTAAATTGTTCAAATCATGACCCACGGAGGTTAGGCGGAGCCACAATAGGGAATCAAAGTTTTACATAGAAATGTATAGGGGAAAAAAACTTTAAAAATCTTCTCAAGAACTTCTTGGCCAGAAAATCTGAAACTTATGTGGAAGCATCATGGAGTATTCTAAATTGTCCAAATTATGACCCACTGGGTACGATGGGGTCACAATATGTATTGCAAGGGGGAAATTTGGTTAAGAAAAGCATAGTCAAAGCTTCTTAGGTGAGCGATGTGGCCCATGGTCCTCTTTTTTTTTTTACTTGTAATTGATCATTAAAAAATTTCAATGAATGAAACTTAGGAAAAGCCTAATTCAATATCAATATTAACAATATGGACAGAACACGAAGTATGATCTTTTCTATTCAGTGACCTTGAACTTGCACAACTCACCTTGGATCACGTTCTGACACACCCTTAGATCATAAGCAATCTTTGTGTAAAATGGGATCTCACCAAGTTTATTCATAAGAAAGATATGGACAGGATTATAACTTTTTCTTTTAGTGACCTCGAACTTGGGTAAAGGTCATGCCACACCCTCGGGTCTTAAGAAAACTTTTGTGTGAAGTTGTAGATTCGTTTTTGCATAAGAAAGATATGGACCAGACACGGATTTTGAACTTTTTCTTTCAGTGACCTTCAACTTGTCCAAATGACCTTGAGTCAAGGTAATGACAAACCGTTAGGTCATGAGTAATCTATATGTGAGGTAGAAGATTCTAATGCTTCTCCGCAAGAAAGATATGAACCGCACGTTTGCACAGACAGACAAGGTGATTCCTGTAACCCCCCGAACTCTGTTTGCAGGGGGTGTAATAATTAATAGGTTAATTTATTATACATGAACTGGATGATATTCTTGCATATGTTTTATTTACATTGCGAGAGAGAATACATGATCATATATTTTGAGAAATGTGCAGTGTGCTATTGTATCGACCATAGAACTTACTAAATGATGACTTAAAACGAGACTGCTGATATTCTTCTGTCAGCAACTTGTTTGTCAATAACTTACCCCGTTTTAAAAATTGTTCATACGTAGAGCATGCTCTTGTGTATCGAATCAAGTGAGAGATATAAACCCCGTATGCAGGAGATGAATTGAAGGTAAACTATATTAATAAATAATTATATTCAAATTTAAATACATACCATTGTAAAATCGCGTATCATAACTTAAAACATTGATATTGCATAAAGTAAGAAAATTATGTTCAAATCTCATGCCTTGTGGTTAAATATTCTTTATTCAGTTATTTGAATAATTGTAAAGTTCTTTTGATTATTAACCTTTATCTTACACAGTCTAAAACATAGACGATACTTACTTTATTCAATGAAAGAGAAACAGTTCCATGAGAGTACATTTTGAAAACAAAGGAGACGATGTTTCAAGTAGGTAATAGACTTCAAACTGTCCACTCTAAGAGGGAAAACATTGTCGTCTAATGACCCTCCAAGAGTTTTTCTTCTCAGAGAATGGGCGTGATTTTGGCCTTCAACCTTTGCATATTTGTATTGTCTTTGGTCATTGGACACGTTTACATTGTTTTTGTTTTTGATCATCGAAACTGTATAGAATGTAGCCTGGTTATTCATAAAATTGATTATTAAAAAAAATAAAATTATGTTGTGTAATAATGTTTGAATTGTATATTTATACATGTTGAAATGCCTTTCGGTTTCCTTAATTCTAGTGAACCGGTTCCAGAAGACTTTATTTTCGCGTAAATACGCGAGACAGTGTGCTCGCGAAAATGTCATTCTCGCATAAATTAGATAGTGTGCTCGCGAAAATGTCATTCTCGAATAAATTACTATTCTAAAAGACTGTATATGGAATAGTAATAACAATTCGTGAACATTTTGACTTATATTAAAAGTAAATATCTATCTCGCGAAAATAAGGGTCGGGAAAATTTGCTGATCAATAGTATCTCGCCCGTTCTTTTCAACACAATACAGGCTAAAAACCAAAATTAATAAACAATACTTCGGAACCACAGGCACTTGTTTTGGAATATTATTACTATGGGTTAAAAATTAATTTCAGAAACAAGTGCCTGTGTTCGGAACATGAAAAACATAGCATACAAATTGGAAATAAAACAAATTGGTATGATGTATAATTTCAGCAAAATACGTCACACTGAGAGACTTTAAATCTGCTTATACACGCCCAACTCCTCTGCGTGAAAAATTTCCCTTGTTATAGAAAACAGTTCATCATAAAATCAACACAGCCCACATAAAATAAAACAGTTATAACTCAACGGACACTTAATGTTGTTTGTCTTTTGGTTAATTAGAACTTTAGTCCGCGGCCTAATATTCAACTTTTTAAAAATATATTTATAGGAAGTTCTGTCATAGCGTTATATACATGTATCCCAGTGGACGGCGAAAATATGGTTTCGGATATAAATGGCTGAAAAGATATTTGATTGAATATTGAATAATTTATGTCAAGCTTTTTTGTTTAAAGTACCAAGTGCACGGTAGATGGACCGCGTCAGGCGTTACCGAGCTCATTTCAATACTCATTATCCATTGTTTAAGAACAGCATAAGAATATACAGTTTTCATAATTAGCTCACCTCAACGAAGTTGGGGGGAGCTTATGTGATACCCTCGGCGTCGGCGTCGGTGTCGGTGTCGGCGTCGGCGTCGGCGTCGGCGTCCCAGGTTAAGGTTAAGTTTTTTGGAGCAGTTTTCTTTTTAATTACTTCTGTGTCCTATACTGATTAGACATGCATGGAAAATGGTTTTAGTGTGTTTTATTGTACCAGACAAAGTTTCAGATGCTGCAATTTCAGCAAAGGAATTACCAGGTTAATGTTTTTGGAGCAGGTTAACATTTTTGGTGCAGTTTTTGGTGTGGGTTTCATTTCCAAGTAACTATCAGGCCTATGTTGACCAAACTTGCATGGATGATACATCTAAGGATGCATACTACCGGGATTGCTTCAGATGCTGAATCTGACCTACATTTTCTGGTTGAGTGAACAGGTTAAAGTTTTTGGTGCAGGTTTCATTTCCAAGTAACTATACGCCCTATGTTGACCAAACTTGCATGGATGATACATCTAAGGATGCATACTACCGGGCTTGCTTCGGATGCTGAATCTGACCTACATTTTCCGGTTGAGTGAACAGGTTAAAGTTTTTGGTGTAGGTTTCATTTCCAAGTAACTATAAGCCCTATGTTGACCAAACTTGCATGGATGATACATCTAAGGATGCATACTACCGGGCTTGCTTCGGATGCTGAATCTGACCTACATTTTCCGGTTGAGTGAACAGGTTAAAGTTTTTGGTGCAGGTTTCATTTCCAAGTAACTATAAGCCCTATGTTGACCAAACTTGCATGGATGATACATCTAAGGATGCATACTACCGGGATTGCTTCGGATGCTGAATCTGACCTACAATTTCCGGTTGAGTGAACAGGTTAAAGTTTTTGGTGCAGGTTTCATTTCCAAGAAACTATAAGCCCTATGTTGACCAAACTTGCATGGATGATACATCTAAGGATGCATACTACCGGGCTTGCTTCGGATGCTGAATCTGACCTACATTTTCTGGTTGAGTGAACAGGTTAAAGTTTTTGGTGTAGGTTTCATTTCCAAGTAACTATAAGCCCTATGTTGACCAAACTTGCATGGATGATACATCTAAGGATGCATACTACCGGGCTTGCTTCGGATGCTGAATCTGACCTACATTTTCCGGTTGAGTGAACAGGTTAAAGTTTTTGGTGCAGGTTTCATTTCCAAGTAACTATAAGCCCTATGTTGACCAAACTTGCATGGATGATACATCTAAGGATGCATACTACCGGGCTTGCTTCGGATGCTGAATATGACCTACATTTTCCAGTTGAGTGAACAGGTTAAAGTTTTTGGTGCAGGTTTCATTTCCAAGTAACTATAAGCCCTATGTTGACCAAACTTGCATGGATGATACATCTAAGGATGCATACTACCGGGCTTGCTTCGGATGCTGAATCTGACGTACATTTTCCAGTTGAGCGAACAGGTTAATGTTTTTGGTGCAGGTTTCATTTGCAAGTAACTTTAAGCCCTATGTTGACCAAACTTGCATGGATGATACGTCTAAGGATGCACACTACCAGGCTTGCTTCGGATGCTGAATCTGACCTACATTTTCCGGTTGAGTGAATAGTTAAAAGTTTTTGGTGCAGGTTTCATTTCCAAGGAACTATGAGTTCTTTAATGACCAGTCTTGCATAGATGATACATCTAAGGATGCATACTTCCAGGCTTGCTTCGGAAGCTGAATCTGACCTACTTTTTGTGGATGAGTGAAAATGTTAGTTTTAATGCATGTTTCATTTCCAATAAACTATGAGCCCTATAATGAGCAAACTTGCATGGATGATACATCTAAGTATGCACACTAATGGACTTGCTTCGGATGCTGAATTGGACATACATTTTTCAGATAATAGACAAGGTAAAAGTTATGGTTGCAGGTCTATTACCAAAAACTATAAGGCTTATATAATATTGTATAAACCAAACTTTCACAAATGCTGCATCAAGAGATGAAAACTCTCAAATTTGCTTCAGATGCTGGATTTTCATTACATTTTCATGAAGAAGAAGTAGTTTAAATTTTTTATGTAGGTCTATTTCAAAGTATCAGATCAAAATTGCTTTTAAAAATATTTTCATTTATGGAATGTATACTTTTTGTTGGTTAATTGTGTGACTTTGCCTTACTTAAAGACAACATTCGTTGAGGTGAGCTCTGTAATCTCTGATTACCTATGTTTTTCTATTAGTCAACAAAACAGATTAGAGAATGAGAGTACCTAACAAAGAGAGCATGCTCTTTGTTTTATACACACTGGAACTCTTGCACCTTTGCAATGGTGGATGTCAAAATGAACTCCCTATAAAGCACGAATTTGACAGGTATTCAAAATCAACGATCGGGACGGGCCATGCATTTAAAGTTTTGTCAACCTCCGACCTTTGGACGTGTTTAGATTTGTGTTCCAGGTTTTCGATGTGTCGCTCTGTGGATTTGAACCGAGATCAACAGACGTGCCGATTAAATGTAAGATCCGCTGTAGAGGAACCCGGTCTGTTGATGGCATCTGACGACACCTCTCATATACCGAAGGAGGACTTTCTCGCGGTAACCTTTCATTTAAATGCTTTACAATCTGATTTAAAAAAATTGTAGGTTCCAAGAGTTAGGAAGTGGGTTGTCAACCATAAATTAACTACATGCATATTTTGGAAAATGCATTACATGTTATTTTTAAATGAAGTACAATGCATATTGAACTTTAATTTGCCTTATTTTTATTTTATAATTAGGTAAAAATTTATGATTTTTGAAAAAAACAAGATGTGTTTGTGAAACACTATGCGCCCGGCGGCAACAAAGTTCGAAAAAAGCTATTTTTAGCATAAAGATTACAGTCAAGGTCACAAGGTCATTGACCTTGGTGTTTTCTGAAAGAACTTGATTAGTGTAGTATACCAAATATCAAATACCAAAATATCGCATACCAAATATGAAGTCTCTATCTTTCATGGTTCAAAAGTAATGGTGAAGGTTCAAAAATGCTATTTTTAGCATAAAAGTCACATTCAAGGTCATGAGGTCATTGACCTTGGTGTCTTTCAAAAGAACTTAATTAGTGAAGTATGCATAACAAATATGAAGTCTCTATCTTTTATGGTTCAAAAATTATGGCGAAGTTAAAGTTTGCAGAAAAAAGCTATTTTTAGCATGTACGAGGGGTGATCAAAAAGTTCGCAAACTAATTGAATAACTTCCATACAAGAAATAATATTTGGTTTTGATGTTGATTATATTTTAAATTAATCCTCCCCGATTTTAATGCACATCAACCACCGTTCTGGGCATGCGCGAATCACGTGACTCCTTCCGTAGCGTTCTGTCACAATAGTTAAAAGATTTTTCCGAGTTTTATATTTCTTTCCATGTGAGTTAATTTTTATGACAAGAACAGTTAATTTGTCAGAAATGGTCATATCTCGGCAACAGAATGGGTGGATAATAACATCCTTTCCAAAAATAAGCATGGCGACCATTAAAACACAAATCTTCTGTCTCAGGAGAGACCTTTATTCAAGGTGGATAGAGAATGGGTGCATCCTTTTATCATATCTAATATGTTTAAAATCTAAAGTAAACGATATCTTAGGTATTTAATACTTATATCATTGTTCAAATATTCAACTATTTTTCAAAGTGCTAATTGGAGGTCTTTGATAGTAAATTGCTTAATTAAAAAAATTAATACATATCTTTTCAAACTTGCTTTCACTGGGCAAGATGACAAACTTGTATCATTTTTAACCATCAGCCTTCCTTCACTAAAACGATTAATCCAATCATTAATTGAATTTATAGGAACTCATTTATCTCAATAAACTGTGTACAAATTATTATATGATACTTTAGAGGGATTTCTAAGATATTACAATAAATTGTACAGTCGTTTAGTGAACGAGTTCGACTGAGACAACCATTTTTCGTCACAAGTGACCTAAATAGTGACGTCATTTTCACATTGTGACGTCACAAACAAGGAGAGAAACTTTATTCAGCATATGCTATTTATAGACCTTGCGTATGGCTATGTGTATACCGAATTTCATCCTAATCTGAATTGTGGTTTCGTAGATATAGAGATAGTTTGCGAACTTTTTGATCACCCCTCGTAGGTCACAATCAAGGTCACAAAGTCATTAACCTTGGTGTCACTTGAAAGAGCTTCATTAGTGAAGTATGCATACCAAATATTAAGTCTCAGTCTATCTTTCATGGTTCAAAAGTTATGGCGAAGGTTAAAATTTGCAGACAAACAGACAAACATACGGAAGCCCATTTAGGACCTATCAAAAAATATTTTTGAATTCGTTATAACGAATTTTAGAATTCGTTATAACGAATTTAATTTGTTATAACAGATTTTTAGAATTTGTTATAACGAATTTAATTTGTTATAACAGATTCATTGAATTCATTATAACGAATTTAATTTGTTATAACAGATTCATTGAATTCATTATAACGAATTTAATTTGTTATTACAGATTCATTGAATTCGTTATAACGAATTTAATTTGTTATTACGGATTTCTTGAATTCGTTTTAACGAATTTAATCTGTTAATACAGATTTGTTGAATTCGTTATAACCAATTCAAGAATTTGGTTATAACGAATTCAAGAAATCTGTAATAACAGATAAAATTCGTTATAACGAATTCAACAAATCTGTAATAACAGATTAAATTCGTTATAATGAATTCAATAGATTTGTAATAACAGATTAAATTCGTTATAACGAATTCAATGAATCTGTTATAACAAATTAAATTCGTTAAAACGAATTCAATGAATCTGTTATAACAAATTAAATTCGTAATAACGAATTCTAAAATTCGTTATAACGAATTCAAAAATATTTTTTGATAGGTCCTAAATGGGCTTCCGTACAAACAGGCAGACAGGACAAAAACAATATACGCCTCGGATCTATCGATCCGGGCGCGTAAAAATTGAAAGGAATCGAGCACCATATATTAAATCCCTGCATTCGGAGAGAGAGATACATAATAAAAATTTAATGAATAATAAAAGTATGAAGAGGGGAATTTCAGGCACGTGATATTGGATATATGCAGTTCTGTCTGGAATGACCTAATAGCAATAATATTGTTACCTGTCAGCGGAGCTTTTTACAAAAAATTCGGGGTGAATATAATGTTCAAAGTGTTTAAAAGAATGACCAGTTTCTGGCACAAAGTCTTTTCCATACACAGACACTGATGAAGTCTTGATTCCTCAGACGACTTCCAAGCATTCTTTTTCAATAACGACGTAAAGATTTCTCCCTCTCCTATAGTTTTCTACTGGCGTATGTCACCAAAGATCGTATTTTATAAACCCAGTCTTCTCTTTATAGATCGTAAATGATGGTTGTTTTCACCACTCCTGCGAAAACATGTCTATGTGCCTAGGTGGGATCTGTGTACCAATATTTGGTAGGTATATTGATAATACTGCTAAAACGACTAAAATTGGATGTATAACATTTTTTTTTAAATAGAGGACTTTTGCCAGAAAATATTGCATTAGATTGATTAATTTTATTTTTGGAAAATTTATTTTTGATAATATATATAGAAGTATACTAGACGAAGTCAATGACAATTAAAATTTTTCATCTGTGAAGTCTTTACCAGTATAATCCTGAAAATAATTTTGAAACATTTGGAATTTTTAAAATGTGTACTAAACATATAGATCTCCTAACATCTCAAATTCATGAATTATAGACAAGAAGTGTAACTCTCCTCCTGTTGTATTAAACTCCGAGGGAACCCCTCCCGAGGGCCCCTTCCCTATTGGACACACCCACAACTATACGTGTTCCGTGGGATATATAGGGTTCTGGGAATCCTATACCACATGCCAGGATAATGGAAAATGGTCAGAAGTAATCTTTCAGTGCATAGGTAAAACTGGACATAATATCTGTGTTATCAATTAATTACAGGTGGTTATATATTAGATTTACGATTTTTCTTATCGCTGTGAGAAATTACTTAACTATATGTGGAAATATCTTTAATATGCACCATATTGATGTTTTTAATCAATATTAACAAGATTATTTATCGAGTGTAGGTATAAATAAAATTAGGAGATGAACGAATATGTTAAAACTATCTGTCTATGAAATACTAGTAGCTAGCACATATGCTCCATTTTGAATTTTTGTAAAATTGAATCTTAAAATATTTTTTGGGGAGAGGCGGCTTGTAAAAACCAAGTGCCATGTTGTAAATTTTGAATTTACTGGATGGGAGTAAATACAAAATTTAGAACATGGCAAAAGGCCCCACTGTACCTTAAAAATGAAAGAGAAAGCACGTATCTAAGAAAAACTACTGATTATTTACAAAATGATTTTTGTAGGGCAACTAGCTGTCAGATTCTTACGGACATCTATGGTAACGGCCGAAATTGGCCACTTATTTGAAAAAAAAATCATGATAGTTGGAAATTATTTTTTCTCATTTTCGATGGATTTCGTTACTTTTCACTTTGGCAAAGAGAAAGCACTTGCTTGCATGTACAAATGTAATTGTTTGTATACGAAAGATACATCTAATAGTAGTACATGATATGTATGAAGTGGGTAAAAAGCGAGCTAATGCTCTGTGTTTTCTGATACAAACGTTGAAAATGAAAATGAAGAAAATCAGAATAAAACTGAAGAAATTTGGAAATTGGATTAATTTTCTGACCTCTCTGTATCATATCATATGACATTTCTTAAAACATTAGAAACAAAGTAATTAGGGCGTAAATGTCCATTCAGTATGTGCAGTTTTAATTACAGATATTTGTATTGCCCAGTTTTAATTTCAGATATTTGTATTGTCCATGGAAACAGGCGGATAGGGACTTGGTGTTATTTCTTTACAACTGTCAAAGCAACGCGCACAAATGCAAACGTGAGGATCTCTCTCTCTCTCTCTCTCTCTCTCTAGGGTATGTGTATAGTTTTCAGCTGACCTGAGTCAAAATCTCAAAACTTTTTTCATCTGTCTTTCTTATCTGTCTGTTATCTGTCATAATTAATTGCCTGTATATAATGTTTCACTTTTCTGTTACTTTTACTGGAACTTCTGCTTCAACCAAACTTGCCAAAAATCATCTTTGGGTAAAATGTATTTAATTCTGTTCACAGACAGTCCCTCGTTCTCTTTCAAGGGGAGATAATTTTGAATTCTTGAAAATTTGGTGGCATCTTTTAAAAATCTTTATCTCAAGAACCTCTATACCAGTTAACATGAAACATAGGTGAAAGCTCAATCACATACTAGTACTGTAGATTCAAGATTGTTCAAATCAGGACCCTTGGAGAAGGGATGCACAACATTGGATCAAATTTTTACATAGAAAACATCCTCGGGAAGTGTAGATTTTTGTTAAAATGATGATCCTTGGGGAGAGTGCAAGGCCACAACAGTGGATTGACGTTACACAATTACAAACTAACAGGAATATACATGTTATATATTAGATAAAAGTCTTCTCAAGAACGGCAAATGCAACAGCATAACTATACTAGTATTTTTAATGTAGAGGCATCCTGAGGTAGTAAGATTGAAATTTGTTCAAACCTTAACCCATTTGATGTAGAATGGACCCATAATTTATGATCAAAGAAAGAACCTGCTGATGAAGTACAGATAGGCCATTATGATAGTTACTCGGGTGAGCATTGTGGTCCATGGGCCTCCCGTTAAACAAGTAAATTTATCAGTGGCCACTTGTAAATCCGGGATTGGAGCGACAGTTTGGGGTAATTAAAGACCATTTTTCTGCTTCTTTCAGGCTCTTTGTACAAACAGAGGAATGTATCTTTCCCGCATTGAAACCTCGAAAGAATGGTACACCTTACAGCCGCATATCAGTAGGAATTTTTTGAGCTGTATTAAAAAAATTCAGTAATCAATTAAAAGAATTTCAACAGATTGGGAACTTTGTCTGGGTTCATTTTGTTTTCTATTTCTTTGTTTTAGGTGGTAGCTATTGGATATCGGGATATGCTCAGTACGCACCCTGGCCTTACCGAGCCTTTTACTGGTCGCCGGGTTTTAGAATTGGATTTGCACCGTGGATTCCAGGACAACCTGACAATGCCTTGCTCAATCAGTGGGACATCAGAATCCAGAAAAACGGATGGGACGATGAATATAAAGACACAAAGTTGACTGTTCTGTGTGAAGCAGATTACTAGACATTATCAGCATTTCCTTGTACGTAATGAAGACGCCTATTTACAATGCGGCCAATTGAATAATTGTCTACTAGGAATAATGAAAATTACACGGGAATAAAATATCAAATATGAAACAAATGTGTCAGACTGTGGTATCCTCACTTCCAGTTCACTGGGATATATCAAGTCGACATATGGCTGGAAGTAAAATTTGAATGATAAGACGTCATCAATATACCCGGTATCTAAATGTTCTCGAAATTTGTGAATAAATTCTGTTTCATATGGATCTTTTAACAACGGAGCGTGATTGCACGGTATACATGGAAATCTGACAAATTGTCGGAAGACGAGATCGCAAAAAAAACAAAAACAAATATAATGTCAATCATAAACTAAGGTCGGCTTTGAAAGGAGCACAACTAGTGCCCATGAAAATCCAATAGTTTGTTGGAAAACGTGGTCTCCGAAGACTACATATACTAGTATCCTGTCAATCAGAAACTCAAGCATTTTTTATAAATATCGACATCAGAGTACAATCAGAATGTTATAAGCAAATTAATTTTGCAAAGGACTAATGACAAAGTAAATGAATTTTACCATTCCGTTTCCATTTTAATTGAAAAAAGCAGCAAAGGAAAACAGTTGTTCATGGGCAGAGAAGACTGAAAGTAAAAGCATGTTCTGTAATACTGTAAGTTGTTTTAATACCACGGTGTTAAAATTTCACGATATCTCAAAAAGTACCAATTGCGATGGTTTTTTAATTTCACGTTGCAAGAAATTAATTTAAATTTTCGTATAAGCATTTAAACGTTTAAAAACTGATAATAACATTTACGATGGGTTTAATTTCGCGGAAAAATGATAAATCGCGAACATTGGCTTAGCGAAATTAAAACCATCATGATTATTTACCAATCTACAGTATCAAGGTCGGATTCTTCTCCGGTTTCTGGCTAGATGAAGTATTCAAAGTATATTTGCTTATATGTCTTATATATAATTAAGTGAATGAGATTTAGAATACCATATTTTTCTTCCTCATCACAATATTGTACAACTTTAAACAGAAATGTTTAATCTGTAGTCTCCCCTTAGGTTTCCCAGGTAGGAAATCTTTGAAATAATATGTCATGATACTTATTTCACTAAAGCTCCAGCAGAGCGATGCAGGATCGGAAACAATTTAAACAGTGGTAAAGTGTGATTATGAGATCTTATCTTAGAATTTTGCTATTGTTTTGATTAATATATTTCAATTAATCTAAGGTACGGAAAACTTCGAAGTATTGCTTTTATATTGTTTTTATTAAGAATGACTATTTAAAACTGTTAAGAATCATTATCAACTTAGCCTCTTGTTTTACGACAAGGCGCAAATTTTTAAACCCGCAACCTACCTTAACGTGGTGATTTTAAATTTTCAATCGTCCACTTCCCTTACTAATGCAGCCATATACCTTCTCACCTGCATACAGGATTTATATCTCTTAGTTGACTTAGTACGCAAGAGCATGCTCTACGTATGAACAATATCTAAAACGAGGTAAATTTGACAGCCAAATTGCTGAAACAAGAATATCTGAAATATCGTTTAAAGTCATCATTTCGCAAGTCCTGTGTATGGTCGATACAATGACCTTGTCAGCAAATACAATTTATCATTACGTTAAATACTGTCTGATTTCTTTCATTCTAATTGTTAGGCCATTATTTACTCATTGAGTTATCCACAGATTTTCTGTTATTTCCCATTTGCAAAATTATTTTGTTTTAAAAACATTCTGATTGTACACACAAGTTCTCTGAAGTCGACATCAAAAAGATGCTCGAGTTTCTGATTGACAATATCTATGTTGTTTTGGAGACCTCGTCTTCTATTGGAATTCCAGTGGGTACCATATTACGCCCTTTTATTAGCAGACCTTTTTTTGTATTCATATGAAGCAGAATTTGTGCAAAATCTTATGCGTGAAAAGAAGAAAACATTTGCCGTGGCCTTCAACTCGACATTTAGATATATCGACGACGTATTTTCGATTAACATAACATTACATAAATGACTATCCACAAGCACTGAAACACTCTTATGTAAATATGTATGCAGATATGATACCTCACAAGATGTAACTGATAAGTCAGTAGAAAACATAGAGTCAAAGATGTGTGAAGATCTGCAACGGAGTACATGTATATGTTGGATTGAGCAAAAAAAAAATTAAGTATAAATTTGTCTAAAACTCAATGTATGCTTGTTGAAACGTCACAAAGATTATCAAAATGTCGAAAACTAAATTTAGTCGTAAATAACCATGTCATAGAATGTGTTCAAGAGTCAAAATCACTTGGTATTATTATTGATGAAACTTTGTCCTGGAAAAGTCACATTGAAGCACTTGTATGCAAGATCTCTAAGAGAATTGGTATTTTAAGAAGAATAAGATATTTTATGTCAAATGATGCATTGTTGAAGATTTTTAATACCATGATTTTCCCTCATTTTACATACTGTTGTACTATATGGAGTAATCCAAAAAATGTTGAAAATGTGAAAAAGCTATTAATTTTACAAAAACGTGCTGCTGGAGTCAATTTGAACATCAGAAATTTTCAAACGCCATCTTCTGTCATATTTACAAAACTCAGTTGGATGCCTCTATCAGATTACTTTATCTTTAGAAAAACCATTTTAGTTTATAAAGTATTACGTGGATTGATGCCTGATTATTTGAACGTTTTTAATTATGTATCAGACGTTAGCCAAAGACAAACAAGAAATTCCAATTCAAAGTTATTGTATGTACCCAGGGCAAAAACTGAGTATTATAAGAGATCTTTCATTGTTTCAGGTAGCAATGCATGGAATACATTGTGTGAAAACATAAGGAATTCAACAAGTGTTGTTTGTTTTAAGAGAAACTATCTTAGAGAATATCACCATGCATCTTAATCTTGTTTAGTATTTTTTTTTTATCTTATAATTCATTTTTTAAAAATCTTATATGTACTCTATTTCTTTTAAACTATGTTTTACTAATACCTGTGTGTATGTATGTTATATTTCAGGACCATATTGAAAACTAGCATTGTTGCTAAAGTATGTCATCCTGGATAAATAAAGGCTTTATTATTATTATCATAATTGTTATTATTATTATAACAATTGTAATTTTCATTCCTATGTCGATATGATATATTCTGGTGAGTCTGACACATCTGTTTCATACTTAGATATTTTACTTGAAAAAGAAATTAATGGTAATCTAACAATCAAGCTCTATGATAAATGTGATTACATTAACTTTTCTATTGTCAACTTCCCTTACTCATGCATCATTTTACCTTCATCGCCTGCTTACGGAGTTTATGTATCTCAGTTGAGGCGATATGCAAGAGCATGCTCTGCGTATGAATACTGTAAATCGTTTTTAATTCCACGGTGTTAAAATTTCACGATATCTCAAAAAGTACCAATTGCGATGGTTTTAATTTCACGCTGCAAGAAATTAATTCAAAATTTCCTATAAGCTTTTAAGTGGTTTAAGAAACTAAACGGAAAAATGATAAATCGCGAACATAGCGAAATTAAAACCATCGTGATTATTTGCCAATCTACAGTAATTTCTAAAACGAGGTAAATTTTTGACAAAAAAGTTGATGAAACAAGAATATAAGCAGTCTCGTTGAAAGTCATCATTTCATACATTGCAAGTTCTATGGTCGATACTATATGATCTTGTTAGCAAATACAATTTATCATTGAGTCATATGCTGACTGACGTTTTTCATACTAATTGTTAGTCCATTATTTATACACTGTATTGACGACGGGTTTTTCCGTTATTTCCCGATCATGACAAGGACCACACGGCGGGTGCTCACTCTTCTATTGAACCTGATCCCACCTCTGATGTTTTGGAGGTCCGTATTTGTTCTGCTCCTGTTTTGTATTGTTTTATGGACTTTTGATCTTGAACACTGTTCGTTATCTCTATATGTTTCATTTAGAGTATTTTTAAATAGAAATTATTAAACTGAGATGATATTTTTCGTGCATTTTGTCTATTTGTATCGAACTTTAGATCCTTTTTTATGTTTTCAATTCAATCATTTTTTTAATAGAAGTAAATTATATCATACAATGTACATGGTACAAAAATATTTATACTATTTTGCAATATAAAATTGAGCACCCTTTGATACTTCTTCTAGTCTAGATCTAAACTTAGATCTAATATGATATAATTTCAGAATTTGCTACTAGTAGGTTTTTTGCATTATCTTGCATATAAGTTTGATTCACAGGAAGAAACTCTGCCATCCTGTAACATTTTCATACATTTCAGTGACCATCCAGTGACTTTCCAGACATTTCAGTGACCATTCAGTGACTGAAAGGTGCAGTTTCATTATGTTCGTATTTTTTTTTAATAAGTATTTCAACACTGTTTAATGGTGTCTCTGTGACATATTTTATTTTATTCAGATTTTATTTGATAAAATGAAATATGTCACAAAAGACACTAATCAAAAATAATTCATATTCACATCCATTTACTAGTATTTTACTTCATCAATTCATGTTTGAATGATTTATTTGCTGAGTTTTACATTGTGCCTATAATTATAAGATATATCTCAGGTATTTTTCAGGTATTAAAATCAAAAGGATAATATATAATACAGAGAGAATTATACAAATAATTTGCAGACTTTCAACATTTACAATATACAGGTATACAAAAACTGATACAGTATTTTAGTCACTGCATTTTATAGTGTCTATATATATTTTTATGACTATAAGCGAAACAAGTTTTTTAATGAATTTGACAAATTAATGTGTTTAATATGGTAAAACTTAATGAAGTCAGTTTCAATCGGATACCTTGGTCAAATAACCTTAGGGTATACTAGTAGGTGTCAATGATTTGATAGATTTTTTTTTCTCTCTCATATCAACTTGACTGCTATCCTTTTCAACAGATTTTACGAAGGTTGTTCGAAAAGTT